TTTATTAACCACACAATTGTAATTAATAAATGCTTTTTGTGAAAAAAATTATTAAAACTTTTTTTTTATCATTAAATTTTAATACATTTTGAGTAACTGTAACAGTAAAAAAAGGTTTGGCATTAACAATTTTTTTAAAATACAAAAAAATTATACATAAAAACATTTTGTTACAACTAATTTTTTGCAGATTCAGGTTTAGACCCAATACATTTTCGCTAATACATTACACGAGTATGTTGAGAACCAAAAATAACGGCACAATTTCTCCCCCATCTCTAAAGATAAGGTTCCTGCGCATACGATTTAACGTGCACATCAGTCATCCTGAATATCTATCTAGCTCACAAGTTCATCGTATCGAGAACGGATATTGATAAACAATAACGTTCTTAACAAACAAACGCTTGAACATAAGAAATCAGTTTTGGTTTTGTCGCTCAAGTGCATAGTCATGTTCTTGATTTCTGTAATTTTTGTGAAACTATTTCGTCGTTATTAACCGTCTATTAAATAACGCCACCGAAATAAAAGTTTATTTTAATTCATGTGCACACTTATCATTAGCAAAAATATTGAGCATTAGAATTAAAATAATTAAAGCACGAATCGCGTCAGTTAACAATGTACATCGATAAAAGAACGATGTATTTACTTTTTGAACTGTTGATTATTTCATTTGCTGAGTCGTATCGAATTTTGGGAGTTTTTCCACTTCCTTCAAAAAGTCACGATGTGATGCTAAGCGCATTAATGAAGGGCTTGGCAGAGCGCAACCACCAAGTAGACGTGATAACACAGTTTCCCGAGAAAAATCCACCACCAAACTACAAAGTTGTTGTAGATCTAAGTGGTAGTACAGAGGCAGTGACCAACAATGTCAGTATGAAATATGCAAAAACATTAAGTGGTAATCCTACGTTTTACATGTCTACAAAATATGGTAATGATCTATGTCACCTAATGGGTTTGGAAAAAATGCAAAGCTTCATTAAAAACATACCTTCATACGATCTAGTCATCACCGAAGTAAGTACACGATGTTTTTTTATTATTTACTATGGTACATTCGTAAATGTTTACTTTGCTCGACATTTTTAGGCATTTGGAGCGAACTGTTACTATGGTTTGGGCTACCTTTTGAATGTCCCAGTTGTCGCAATCTCATGTATTGACGAACCCACATGGATAAGCGAATACATCGGTGGTAATAATAATCCAGCCTTTGTGCCAAACTCATTACTTCAAGGCACTTTTGATAAATTTAAATTTTGGGATCGCTTGCGAAACACGATTGGCTACGTACAACAAGTTCATGACTTTAAACGGCTAACTGCCGTGCAAACTCAACTGATGAGAAAATATTTGAGTCCAGATGTGCCAGACGTACGGGAATTGGAGAGAACCGTATCTCTGCTTTTGGTTAACAGACACCCCGTCATCCATGGACCAAAACCAATTACTTCAGCTGTGGTAGAAGTCAGTGCCTTACACATCAACAAAAACAACTCCCAGATCTCCCTGGTAACCAAATTCGGTTAATTCCTACAACATCACTTGTACGTTCACCGTTTGAAGTTTGTTTGTTTGTTTGTTTTTTTTTTTTTTTTTTACAGCAACTGCAAAATTGGTTAGATGACAGCCAAGATGGGGTTGTTTATTTCACATTTGGATCGATGGTTTTGATAGAAACACTACCACCAGAAACACTAAACGCTATTTACAAGTCCTTCTCTAAATTAGCTCCGATGCGAGTACTGATGAAAATTGCTGACCCAAGTAAACTGCCGCCAGGATTACCGAAAAACATTTTGACTTTACCGTGGATCCCTCAGCTAAGTGTATTAGGTGATTATTTTAATTATAAATTGTCAGAATTATTATATGATTTTGAGGTATATGATTTTGAGATTATTATAAGGAAAAACTTTTTTTATTCCATAGATCACAAAAATGTTCGAGTTTTCATAACTCACGGAGGACTGATGAGCTGTCAAGAAGCGTTATATTTCGGAGTACCAATAATTGGTATTCCATTGTTTAGCGACCAAATGCAAAATGTAGCGAGATTTGAGGAAAAGAACATGGGTATCAAGATTAATTATGAAAACATCAATGAAGCTTCTTTAGATGAAACTCTAAGAACAATTTTTACCGATCCAAAATATAGGTATACAATTTTAAAATAATCTTACTCTGTTATCTAAGTGTTGTAAATTCAAATCGTAAAACTAATTGCATTTCCACTACAGAGAAAATGCAAAGTTGTACTCGAAATTATTTAAAGACAGACCAATGGAGGCTATGGATACAGCTGTATTTTGGATAGAGTACGTAATTCGGAACGGAGGAATGTATTTGAGGTCACCCGCCATCGAATTAGCTTGGTGGCAGTTAGCTTTACTGGATGTTTATGGATTTTTATTGTTGTGTGGAATATCAGTACTTACAGTTGCATATTATTTAATCAAATTTTGTACAACAAGATATTTTTTACGATCATTCAAGAAGGTAAAAAAACAATGAAAGTTGTAAAAAGCTTACCTGATTGATCGTATTTTTTAAGGGGCTTCAAAATGTAATTCATCACAAGTTTTGTCTAGCGACTATTTAGGCTGCAAAAAGACTGAATTAGGTTTTAATACCTGGTAGATTAAAGAATTATATTTAATAACGCAAGTTTTTGATATGGGGATAAATTTGAATTACACAAGTCAGTTATTGTTATTATTAATGTAATACACTATTCATGCTGTAGGATGGAGTGTAAAAGTATTAATAAGCCAGAAATCAAAATTTTCCTTTCCTCGAATGTAATGGCCCTTCCCATTACCGCGAGGAAGACAGGATGCGCGCTTCCCCGAACCGCACGACCGAAAAACCAGTGATCGGTTCCTCACGTGCATCAGGTATTGCGTGAGATCGTCGGAGGAAGAAGGAAAAAAAAAAAAAAAAAACACGAGGAGTCCCAGATGGAAACGGACGAGAGCGCTACCGCAAGAGGAGCCCCGACACCGTCACGGAAAGAAGACAGGAGCGTACACGCCCATCGCGTTACACATATGTTCCTGTACATTAGCGCACGGCTTGTTCCCCTCCCCCGATTTTTCTCCATCTTCGTTCTGCTTTTCTTTTCCCCCTTTTTTTTTTTTTTTTTTTT